CTGCCTTTTCCAGCTCCTTGGCACACTGATATTCCCATTTTATATTTGCAGTTTTTAACTCCTTTTAGGAAGAAAATTTGTACACTTTAAAATATTACCGCTTTTCACAATAAATATGCTAACAGCAGTAAATTGCCACTGATTTGAGTCTCACCTTTTATAAGCCTACAGTCATAGCAAAGTTTGTTAAACTGAGTTTTCACTCTTGGGTAAGGCCCTCGTACCAGTAAAGAGAAAGGGAAATATGTCTACCTGTTAATTAGGAGCCAATGGGTTTTTAGACCACGACCATTTCAAGCAAACTTTCAGTGCTCATAAACAAAAAACAAACAAAAAACCCCAAATAAATAAACAAAAAATAAAATCTAACAACAGCTGAGGGTTTCTATTTTGTTTGTATTAATTACTTAGAAAATGAAATCTAGTCACTTACCTTGTTGACTTTCTGGCTTTTCTGATCATTCAAAGTATGAAACAATTCCAAGAAATTCAACGCATACTTTTCAATTGGCTTAAGCTGTTCAGAAATACATTTTGGTACATTGCTAGTTACTTAGCTTTTGAATTAGAAACACATAAATAACCAGTGATTTAAAAACAAGCAGAAAAACAAGCAGAAAAATAAATGTATTTATTGCGGTTGCAAATAATGGTACCATAATTAAGGTAGAAAAGAGATCTAAGGACCAAGAAATCTGACATTCTGGTCCCTAGCTAGTCTGCTCACATCCCACCAGTGTCACTAAGAATAGGCTCCAACTACTGTCTTCCATTTTCCTAACTAAAAAAAAAAATGAGCATGCCATCTGAGTTATTATGCACACTCTTGACTGGTTGTTAGTAAGCAGGCCGCTACCTGGGTTCTACACAAGTAGCCAAAGGGAAAAGGGGACAATCAGAATCTGACAGAGCTCAGGGAACACTAAGAATAGTCGTTTTGTGGTTAAGAAACAGATCCAAGGGCTTTAAGAAAAAAGACAAGGATCTGGCAAAGCACAGGACTGTAAAACAGTTTTATACCACAAGATACAGTTTAGTCCAATGCACTTCATGATCCTCAGGAGAACATTTGGTGACTTAAATGTTTCAGTACCTGAATAGATCTATCAACAAGCTCCAATTATGTCCCAGGCTTGTTTCAATATTTAAGTGTGCACAAAACAGTTTGATGTAAATAGAGTGGAAATAAGGTACTTTATGAAAGCCATTTGATTGTTGCACAGGAAAGTAAATTTCAAATATTTCTAAAGCTTTAGATAAACCAAGAGAAATTGTCATACCTCATCTACAAAGCTAGCCAGCTGTTCTAGCTGTGAAGGAACCACAGTATTTCTTGAATCATACCACTCTGAATCTATGTCATCTCTTATCTCAGATCGTGTCTCTTCTGTAAACTTTCTGGAATCCTCTTTTCCCTATGCAGAGCAAAGAACCTTATGGAAACAAGTTTTCAAGTATTTGATAAGACAATGTATGATGTCAAAAGTTTTTTAATCATCCTAAAATTGAGTTTAGAAAAGTCAGATTACAGACATATCTGACACCTTCTGCTGCAGATGTTGGTTTCGTTTGATTAAAACAATGGCAAAAGGAGTGTAAAATTATCATTGGAACAGAGTTTTCTTTCTAGATATTTTTATCTTCTGATTCTCTATACAAGCTAACAATTCAGGTTTTTTACTGATTTTAACTGTGATCACATACCACTGGCCCCCAAAGAAGTCTGAAATATAAAACTAGATGATGTTTAAAATTCTGCCTCTGATCTAGTAAAGCACTTGTTTTTTACATATCATTAGAGAACTGCTCACATTCTTGATGTTACAGTACCTGAGTTAAAAGGTCTGTTGAACAATCATCTCCGTGAGCAGCCACTTCTTGAATTAAATGTTTAATACCTTTTTTCAACAGCCTCTCTTCAACAGAATTGCCACTTATAAGCCTGTAAAACAAAGAAACTCATTAAATACTGTTCCCTAGAAAACAGTGACACTTTCTGAAACTCAGCTGTTTCGTGTCTAATGTTCCTCGCCTACAGCAGTGAGCACCAACACTCATTTAGATTTCATAGGAAGTTTCATATTCCTTTTTAGTTTCTTAGAGGAAAGCTTTCTTTTTACATCTGATTTCATATTTTCAAAACACCGGGTTCTTTTAAGTTCTTATCTTCAAAATGAACAATAAACGGTATTGTCTTCTATACAATTGGATTTTTTAAAAAACTCCATACAGTAGCAGGGTATTTGCAAACAGACACCAGCCATGCGTACCTGGCCAGTGGTGTAAGGTGAGCAAGAGCTCCCCTCTGCTCTCAGCACATCCTTCCAGGAAAAGAAACAGTCACTTGAGAGAAGCTTTCAAATACATCTTAAAACTACATGAACGTCAGCATCTCATCACTGGTGGATTTGAAATCCAATGATAGACCACCAAGAAAGACTTTTGTTGTTTATCAGGAGCAGGAAACACCCACAGATACTAGTGTTTGTTTTGACTGTCCCAACACAGAAATCCAGATGGCTTACAAGATGAAAGTGGGAGGGAAAGACAGGAATAGAGGCTACAGTAAGGGAAGGGACAGGACAGGTCTTTCATTTTCCCTTTAGTCTGAAGGGAAGAAGTATGTTTGACTCATCCAATCTTGAAAGGGATCTTAAAAGACCAAACGACTTAAACTAAAAGGATGACCTCAACCAAAAATCCTAGTTTCACCTAAAAACATAGAATCATAGAATCATTTAGGTTGCAAAAGACTTTTAAGATCATCCAGTCCAACCATTAACCTAACATTACCAAGTCCACCACTAAACATCTTCCCTTAATTTTTGATTTTAAAACACCTATACTATTTCTTAGCATAAAAGTCACCTGTATATGTGAATATCTCTGTCTCTTGCAATTTTATCACACCACTCTTTAGCCTTTGTATCCATCGGCGGATCTAAATCAGTGTCATAGAAGACCACGGCATCCGCAGCTACACGGCTGACACCTGTGGAAGGAGTGTGGGAAGCAAGAATAGCACAGAAGACTCGCTTGTCTTGGTTGGAGTTTTTTATGGATTCCTAAAATGGGGAGACAAGCAACTTAATTACAAATTCACATCAATAAAGCATAAATCTCTACACAAACTTTTTTACAGAATGAGATCAGAAAAATTGCTTTATTACTTCCCCAACTGGCATTAAGCTTGCAAACATTTTAAGTTATCTGACTGCCCACATTACAGATCTATACAATTCAAAATTAAGTTGTGTACCATTAAAACTATTAATTTATGCCCCAGACAGCCAGATAAAAATCTGAAGCTCTGTTACAGTAGTCACATTATGTCCCATAGCTAAGCACACCTGACTGGGTTATCACATTCTGTGCGTGCTTCATCATTTGTCTTGTCTATTGACTAAATTGAATCCCTTCTATTGTGCTGCCTCATGTTGCTTTAAGGCAAAGTATTCCTTCATGTTTTATACTGCATCTGACAGAAAGCATAACAAAGCAATTTGAAATAAAAAAAAATAAGGAAAGAATAACTTCACTATAGTGTTAATGTCTGCTCAAATTGTAGGCCCCAGAGGATACTGAGAATCTTACTGGGGAGGGAGATGAGCATACTTTCAATTTATCCTCAGGCAATGCCAGGGCACTCTACAAAAAACAAAAGCCCCTGGAGTAAGGCTGAGGAAGTGCCAACATAAAACCAGCAGCTACACTTAAAGTACTAACAACGTAGATAGCTACAGATAATAAAAGCAAAAGCAATTAATCGAAACGCTATTGTGAAATAAAACATCTGGATTTCATGCACGTATAAAGGTAGGACAACGAGTAGCATACCTCTTGGAAACACCCTGGATGCCTCATCAAATAGTAACATGACTGACGTATTTCATATGCAATTACATATTTTGTGCTACAGCTACATACATAATTTGCTTAAATAACTAATGAAATTAAGCAAATGAATTTTGCAAATGCATGAGCCTTCCCTTTAGCATTTTCCCTCCCACTATGAGCATCTATTCACTATTACCTTGAGAAAGAGCTCCTCTTACCAGATAATGCCAGCTGTGAGCACTGCTCTCATTAACTCTTATGTATGTGAGAAAATGGAAGTTCAAGAAAAGCTCCAGTACATCGAGCATTGGAATCATCTGCGTCAAAATCAACACACGATGTCCTCTTGCTTTCAGCTTCCGAAGCAAGACAGCCAGAGCTTCCATCTTGCCTGTTGATGAAATAGGAACTTGAAGGTTCTGCAGGTAGCATTCAACAGTTAGAAAAAGCACATTCGCATAGTTATAGCGGGTGGTGGGATTTTTTAATACCTGAATCGCACTGCACCAGTCGGGGATCTGGAAACTGTAGAAAATGAGGCCTTGCAATCTGCTGCATTGAATGGAAGTAGGGAAGTACCTGTTCCTTTAGATTAAACTTCAAGACCTTCATTTCATGGGTATAAGTATAAGGAGGATTCGCTACATACAAACACGGAGTAGCAACAGCAACAGCTGGCAATACGCACAGATCTCTATAAAACAAACCAAAACTTTGATATACTACTTTTTAACAGCTCGGGCTATTAACTACTCAAAAACAGTAATAAAGAAGATGTCTGCATGGAAGCATAAAGGACCTGGCTAAAGGTAATTAAAATTAAATCAGTAGATGAAGTTTTATGTTAACACCAAGTCAATGCAAAAACACTCATGAGCAGAACAAGACAAGAGTAAATTACCACTATCCGTAAGGTTACCCAGATAAGCTGACTTACAACTCCTGCTTTTTTTGTAAGTATTCACCCCAAAAAATACAAGATAAGTCAAAATAAAGTAAAATTGCTATATAACTAATAACAATTGCCATGGAACTATTAAGAGTTTTAGTATCTTAGAATGATCTAAAATTATACGTCAGGGAGGCAAACAGATCCTGCATAAAGGAATTTAGCCTGCAATAAGGATAAAACAAGGCAACTCATTTATCGCTTTTAGCATTTGACAGTACTTTACATAAATACGCTGGTTTGGATGGTAGTATACACCCATCAGATTTGTGCAAAGACGGCAAATGGGTTTGTCTCAATTACCTAGTAACAACATCCTTCAGGGCGATCTGTTGCTGCTTCAATGTCAGAATGAGTTCTTGCAATGGATCCTTTAGAACCTCTGAAGTACTTGAATAGGGAAGGCAATTTGCAAAGCCAGCCCAGCACCATTTGTTAATCCTGGCAGAACAATGCTGAGAGATTTTTTTTTCACTGATCCAAGAGCAAATTTCCAACAAGTCTCTGCCATATAGTGGGGTTCAGGAACAACGACGCTCATTCCCAAAATAAATTTTGTCCAGGTGTTCCTTTAGTTGTCTTTTTTCTTCTATGACACCCTTTAAATTCAAAATTCTTTTCTGAATGTATTTTGACCGGATAAAGCTTATGCAAAAAAGAAATTTATGCAAGAGGAAGTTGAAAATAAGGATAACTTAGTTAATGCGAGAGTTCTGTGAATGACTACGAAAGCAGATGGGAGCAGGAGAAGAGCTGACGATTACAATAGTATTTGTGATACACGGACAGATGTTAGGTTTGGTATTTTAATGAAAAATAAATCCGCTCTCCTACCCTATGCCTACTAGCAAAAATATAATGGGACTTTCAAACTACCATTGGAGAGTCCACTGGTACAGATGGATGAGACTAGTCAATCACAATATTCCACATGCTTTAAATATTAAAGCTTTGACTATTTCAGCAAACACATACGCGCACATGAATCTTGTAAACTACACATTGTTCATGATCAAGTATATACGCTGCCATATAAAGAGTTAGCATAGTACCTGAGGTGGACACGGAAGTGTAGATACTGATTTAGATTTACTACTCAAGTCATCCACTGTCCCATTAATAAATTCATTTTTCCAGGGAAGCAGGAAGACAAGAAAAATATTTTAATGAAGAAAATAATTTAATGTCACAGACATATGATATGACAATATGAGGATATTGTGGCTTCTAGAATTTTGATTTCTGAATAGTTAAAAAGTTAAAAAGAAAAAAGAAAGCGGGGGGGGGGGGGGGAGAGGGGAGGAGGGAAGAGAGAAGGATGTGAATTGAATCATGTAGCACCTTACCTTGATGCTTCAGAGACTGTCTACTAATAAGCAGACAGAACTGACTGTAAGACAAAGTAAATGTTTTCCCTCTAAACTGTAACATTACAGGCTTCTCTGGCTGAGCAATTCTCTCTTGTGCTCCAGCTGTGGGAGCCATTGGGCCAAGTACTATCTCGCTGGCTGTTAAGAGAAGACAAAAAAGGTACAAGGTTTAAAAATAAGAATTTCCTTACTGTGCACTGCAGGATTTAAATGCTTATCCCATGCATATAGTGTGCCCTATTTCTAGTGAAGGGCAACTTTACTCCAGACATAACTCTTGGGTTGCACTTAACTGCAAACAGACTAGGTCTCCCTCTAATACTGTGCATTCTTAAACTACACATGAAATGTTCTTCCCCTCAGTACCACTGGTAGACCTAAAAAAAAAAAAGGATTATTTTACTAGATACAGTTTGACTGGTATTTCACAGGGGTACTCACTTGATTTGACAATGTACAAACTCTGTAAGGGCTTCAAGAGTCTGCACAGGTATATTTTAAGCAAAGTTTTGGGGGAAAACAACCACAGAATAAGAGATCTTTTCCTGCACAATTCATTTTTAGCAATGAAATTTAGTTCTTAGAACAGTCAAGACCACAAAAGCATAATTACCAGATACAATTTTCAGTCTCCCTTCATACTGAATGCTTCCCATTCATCCATGCAAAAACTGATACTGTACCCAGCTGAAATCAATATGTAGAGAATTTAGAAAAGGCCTGAAAAAGACTGTGCTTGAAATACTGCACTACATCCCCACTCATCTGAAAACGGTCTGTTCCAAAGGGCTGTATCATATAAAGGCGACCCAGTTAACAACGACCGTTAGCAGCGGCTCAGCAGAGACCCGGAGAACGGGGCAGTGGTGATGCCTAAATCTGATCAGTCAGTTAAGACTGATGTGTGAAAAGCTGTCTCACACACTGCAGGTCAGGTCTGAAGAGAGACTCTCATTAAGATGGTATACCTGGAGGCCAGCACAACTGCCAGCAAAATTTCCAGTGTTTGCAGAATAGTATCATTCTGTTTATAAAAGACAGACAGATAGATAATTAATTTTGTTTTGATTTTGAGAGTGAATTCCTGTTAGAAAACCGCTAATGGAACTTGATATTCAAATATATAATGCATGAACGTATTCAGTACAACCTCATTTCTTCCCCAAATTCAAGCAATATTTAAAAAAAAAAAGACAGCAAACCAGAAAGCGGTGGTTTATTATATGTACAACACACCGTTCCTACGCTGATTTTCTGAAAACGTGGCAAGGGGTTGTCGTCTCTGTATTTTCTCATGATGATCTTCCGTAACTGTTGCTGTGTCCACTGTCTGCTGCAACTGAGACCTTGAGAAGTCTCTAGTCCTACCTTCGGGCTTCTGTCCATACTGCACTGGTGTAAATAACCTAAAAATTAACAAAGCATCTTTCTGCACATACAAAAACCAGACATGAGGAAGTTGTTAATCCCTTCTCCCTGCTACAAAATCAAGTTAAAAAGCAGAGAGTTATTTTTAGTCAGTAATCTGAGCTAGAAGAGGTACCCAGCTGCAGAGCATATGGCAGGAGGAATTCTGCTTCTCTCAACATGCAGAAGAAACACAGCATACTGTAAAATGCAAGTACGCCAAATGCTCTGAGGCTCCAGTCTTCTCTGAAGGATTACGTGGAGGGGTACAAGCATGACAGACCTCCCATATTCCTTAATCATCTTTGGAGTCTGGAGACAGCAAGAAAACTCCCCAAAAGATGCTAATAAGGATCCAGCCTCTTAATGGAGCAAACTCTTAATTACGGCTAGGAGCAATACAAGTACAAAAAGCCCGGGATCTTTTACTTCCATGTATCTTCAGGCGGTTTGGTTTTAAAAACATACCGCAACTGTAAAAGCTGACTTCACAGTAACTGTTTTGTGTATACTACTTCAGAGAAACTAAAGATGTCTAAATGGTAAAAGAATGAGTTCTTTTTCTGCTTTACGTATATGTTTTAGCTATCGCTTCCAATTCTTAAATTTCATTAACTGACACAGCTCCTTTCTGGCAGAACTGCCTAACAGAACCAGTGCAGGACATCCTCCTTGTCACCTGCTACAGCTGTGTGTTGCACAAGCTGTCTTGAGCTTTAGTAACCATACTTTGCTCTTATCAGGTTAATTTATTGTAAGTCTACATGGCTCTAGAGCAGAACTATGTTCACTCCAAGACTCAAAAATGAACCCTCCCAACTGCTCTTCAGAGAGAAGAGTCAACAGCAAAAACAAAAGCTCCAAATTAAATTATTTTCCTTCCCCTTGCCCCCCATCCAAACCCCCCCCAAGATTTCTTTAAGTGCTTTGCAAGCACATCTTAGACTTAAAATTAACTAGAAGGAGAAGATTTAAGTATTCTGCTTAGGAAACTCTACTACAGAAGTCACTTCCACTGTTTGATCAAAACCACAACGGACTTCAACTCTATTGAGTTTGTCAGGAAAGATCACAACTGAGCTTTCATAAATGAAAAGAACTATTACATGGTAAAAAGCAGTCTGCTTTCCCTCAGAAGACTGGCATACAGTCCTTAGCAGTGGTCAGTCTGGAAACAAAAGACAGCAAGAAAAATAAGTGCTTCTGAATGAACCCTCTTGGCCCTCATAAATATTACTCATTTTCACCTGTTACTTCAAATAAATCAATCAATCAATCACTGCAACACTGCATACCTATTTGGTTTGAGTTTCACTGGCTCAAGTCTGGGTGACGAAGGAGAACAGTAGATCTCTTCGATAAGCTTCCTAGTTACCTTCAGTTTTGGCAGTATTTGCGCTTCGTAGCAAGTCATTTGGTTTTCCATCCCAATCACATCAAAGAGAGACCAGTCTGCGTGCTTAAGTTATAAAAGGAAAAAAAAAAAAAACAAGCTAAAGAAATATTCAAAATATTCTACTACCATTCAGTTGCAGTAAAAGAAAATAATAGTAGTAATAATACCACATTATCTGGGAATGATTAAAAAGCTTGCAGCTGATGCCAGAATTAAACCAAAACGCGGAGGAGCCAAGCGTCATGTGATTTTGCAGAGAGCAGCTGCCGTTACTTTAAAAGGTTTCAGCAACCTACACCATGAAAATAGAGCATTATGCTCATGTTACCAAGTCAGAAACAGGACAGCACCCTCAAATTACAGGCTCTGCAGTTAATTCAATGCTTGTAATTAAAACATCTGTCTTTGTAGAACTGGCATTCCAGACTCATCCATTCCCACCTTGATATATTAACCCTACTTCCTTCACAAGCCTTTGATGCTCACCCTGTCCCCCTGCCCCAAAATGATTTTTCCAACAGGCTTAAAGGAGTAACTGTTTGAATTTCCCAGGACACATAACGCTACTGGTTTAGCTTTGTCCAGTCTTCCTTAAGCCTCTAGTATTGCTGAAATCACTTTAAAAAAAAATGGATTAAATCCCTTGCAATATAACTTGAACAAAGAGACTATGGTTAAAAGTAAACTGGGGAATCTGAGACAGCTTCTCATCTCCGGGGCTGTACACCTATGCCCTCAGGACAGGACAAGAATGGCACCTTTCCCTTGATTCCAAGGCCCATCCGTTCTGGTTAACTGGGAACTTCAGGCAAAACCAAAAAAAACGTCGCAAAATAGTCTGACCTTCTTTGACAAGGATAGCAAATTCCCAGCATACCTACTAAATTCAGTACTGCCATCAAGTCAATGGTTATTATTTATAAGCTTAGCAGTTGCTTCTAAAAATAAATGAATTAGCAATTCAGATTTTGAAATTTAATTGGAACCTGAATTATGTGTAAGAAATTTTATGCCCTAAGCCACCTGCTCTCCCAGTCAAATCCAGTCAAGCACAAGAGAATTACTTCCCTACTCACCTTCCAAAGATCCCACCCCAATGCATTCAGCACTAGAGAAGCAGTTGTGAACTCCAGCGTGTCTAATACACAGGGAGAACTTGGAAGCCGGGGACTTATCAGATCAGGATGATTACACACCCTTAGCAGCTGCGTCACAATATGGAGGACACTGACAAAGTGCCCACTCTTAAGACATTCTTGAGTTCTGTTATTTAAGATGAAAACACAATTTAAATTATCTTTAAAAAACAGTGCTTTTTAGGAGCCCAGGTCTTTCTGCACACTTAAACTGTTGCTCTGAGTAAATCTGGTAACACCAAGTTATCAAACTTAGAAAAGTATGAGTTTAAAAATGCAGTCTTCCATTCCTCCAGCTTCTCTCACATTCACACAAACTTTTAATAATTTATAGAATGTATTCTGATTTTAAAACTCACATTATCATAAACCTGAATTCCTCAAATAGCCATGCTATTTCAAATGGAAATGACATCGGATAAAATATGAAACATATTGTCAATATTAAGGCCTTTCTTTTTCTAACACCTGAATAAATACCACTATAAATTATCAAATTCACTGGAAAATACAAACTAGACATATCAGAAAAGCAATGTAACATATAACCTAGGATATTCAGTTCCTAAATAACTTAAGAACTAAATTTAGACAGAAACTGTAACACATGGTCAATTGCCTAAGTTACAAATATTTTGGCCCACATATAGTTTGTCCCATAATCTGCAACTACTGTTTATTTATGTTTCCTTTCACCTTGTAAGACTACTAGATCTAAATAAACAAACACAGAATGAAGAAATGGCTGAATGCAATTACCACTAAGTGTACGACATGATTAGCCTGCACAGCACGATGATTATGCCTATGTGCTTTAATATTTAGGTTTGCCCATGACTCACTGAGAAATAACATGCTAGCAAACAAGCTTTCTTATTGTAACTGGAATGGTTCCTAACTTTAACGATGAATGAACAATTAAGAACTACTCAACAGATGTACCTTGGGTGAGACAAGATGTCTTCATACATTGACTTCTGCCGATTAGAAAGAGTACATGTAAGCACGTGCTCGTATTTCCTTGGTAACTGCGTCTCAACATGAATTTTGGACCTCCGCAAAATAAATGACTGCGCTACCTAAAAGAATACAAACCAGTAACTTCTGAATTGTATTTCCTCAGAGAAAGAGATACTAGTATTAAGACACTATCCTCAAGGGAGACGTACTCTCTGGAGTCTCGCTGCAACTCTCTGGCAATGCTCTTCACTGCCCTCCACAGATGCTACCTTCATAAAATCCAGATAGGACTGGGAAATCCCTGGAATCAGGAAACAGGCAATGGCCCACAGATCTTTTAAGGCAGTAGGCAGAAGCGTATCCATCAAGAGTAAATGATGATGACTGTGAACAATGAAGAGAACAATTAAGGTAAGATCTATTTCATAATTTAGATTACAAGAAAAGAAAATTTACAAGAAAATTTTAAAAACCTGCAATTATAAGTGCTGAAGTTATTTCAGAAAGTAACTGACAGACAAAAGCAAAAAGAAAAATTTCAATGAATGCTTCAGACCTCCGGAGATTGAATATTGCATCCCAGTGCTTCTCTGTCAGATTATTACCATTCTGCCTCTCATCTAAAACTAGATACCTCCATTGTACTTTCATGAATGCTTCACAGTCTTTCCAGAATTGCTTGCAGGAGGCAATGCATACGTTAAAGTTGTTGGGGTCAGTCCATTCCTGCAACATAAAAACACAAAAATCCTAAAGGCTTTTTTGATGGCTTTCAGAGCAAAGATTATTAAGCGTTTCCTCTTCTGGGATTAAAATAGATTATCTTGCATTTTATCCCAGTGCAGTTCTTCAAAGCTTTCAAAATCCCAAAAGGGAAAAGAATGCTCAGTTTAGCTCTCTGGTTGTGATGTTTGAAACACTATGTAAAATACCCTTAACAGAAACTGTTTTTTTTAAAGAAGAAAAAACTTTTCCTACAAAACACAGCAGACGAAGTTTCCTAGCCATCCAAAACCAACTGGCAATGAAAAGCCATCTTTCCTTACACATTTTTAAAGTGTTCCTTGAAGAGTTTGGACATGTTTCAGAATACTTATACTTGCTGTTACAGGTTATCAATAGTATTCATATTTAATGGATAAATTCTAAACTCTAAGATTCGTATGTGTCAATTGTTAGGTAAATTCTACACAGAAGTATAAAAAATTATTATGGAGGATCACAGAAGCTGTCAAATGTGTGAATTAACATCCTAATATTTCCTTTCAAAGGCAAAAAAAAATTAGAAACAAAAGCCACAAAGTTAAAATTGCAAGAATGGAAAAGTCACAGAACTAAAGGAATAAATATGCTCAAAGGAATAAATATGCTTAAAGTTATGGCAAATTCGTTAATTTTCTTCTGCTCTGCTCAGGTCACAAAGCAAGAAAAAGTTATTCCATGATTTATATGGCGCAGTTCTACAAACTTAAGAGAGAAGTGAAAAATTGCTAGTAAATCTAAGATTACATGAAGGACTCCAACAAGGAAAGAGATTGAAAAGTAACCAGAAAAGACACATCACCCCAAAAGGAGGAATAAAACTTGTATGTTGTAAAAGCAGTAATGGAGGAATGCAAGAAGTTCCTTGTAACTATGGAAGTTGCAAATACAAAAATTAGAGGGGGGGGGGGGGGGAAGCAGCATATTTTGCAAATAAGTTTAGTGAAGTTTTGAATCCCGAAAACACATACATGGCTTCTAAAGCTACAAAATACAAACCAAACTTCCTGTTGCTTCTGGATTACGCATCAATTTCTCATCCAAAAAATGGCTACATTCAACACATTTTCTTAATAAACTTCTGCAAATACTAAGATGAGGTACAAGGCACTGGAGCAAAGATGTGAGTTTCCCCATAGAGAGATTAGGTACTAGTCAAAAATATCTGTGCAAAGGGACATCGTGCCAGTAAGTACATACACGCAACTTAAAAAGGCTAGCCAGATATTGGTCATCAAAGCAGATTTTACTGGTAAATATCGAACTCTGCTTATGAACTAGCATTCATGAAATGAGGAAATACCTTCATTCTTCCAGTATGCTACATAACAAAAAGAGAAAAGAACTAGGTTGTGATATCACTATACTAAAATTTTTAACCACAATGGTATAATCGTGACTCAGGCTGATATTTTCTTTCTGTGTAATGCTTATGTTACCCGGTACGTGTGTAGATGAACCAACGTTCCATACTACCTGTCTTTTTTCAAAAAGTTCTCCTGGGTTCCCAAGATACAGAAGAATTTTCAAAGCAGGACACCAGCATTTCAGCTCAATCTCCCACTTCAGCACATTAAAGTTTTGTGAAACAACAAGAATAGGACCCCAGTTACCTATAGAGATAAAAGGTATAGCATGGCTGGAAATGGCTGCATAGCACTTCAGAGCTTACAAGAAAAGGCAACTGTGTATATACAAACAGCATACACATGCACGTGCACTAACAATGAAAAGAATTGTGTATCCCTTTTTATAAAAATTTATTCCAGGTACATTTCTTTAAATTATACATATTAAACGCAATTCTTCTTTTTTTTTTCCTCTTACTGAAAACACATTCAGTGGTGAACTGGTAAAAATATAGATTTATAAAATAAAAGATCTACAATATTTCATACCTTCATTACATGCCAGGTGTGCAAAAAAAGCAACAACCTGCACTGTTTTTCCAAGCCCAGCTTCATCAGCCAGAATGCCATTGAGATTCATCTTACACAGCTTTGCCAACCACTCCAGTCCAGTCTGCTGATAATCTCTAAGAGTGCCGCGTACTAAGGACGGAGTATCACTTTTTACTGCTGTTGTAACTTGAGCACTGCCTTTGGGTAACAACGCTTCTGCAGCAGCAGCAGGATCTGCTAAATCTGCCATTATTTCTTTACAACAGATGTGAGAAGATCTGGAAGCACCACTTCCTTCTGAAGGCTGTCTTTCTCATTCAGAGAGTCTCTTATTTCTGCACAAAATAAAAAAAAATCGTGCTGATGCCATACCCGAGATCACAGAATCATAGAATCATTTAGGTTGGAAAAGACCTTTAAGATCATCCAGTCCAACCATTAAATGAATTAGATGAATAATTAGATGCCCAACCATTAGATGAATAATTCATTAACAGCTTTAATGCTATTTACAGCTAAGCCAGGCTCTAAAGAACACAAGAATTTTACACTCTAAGAATAACGTAAAATCCAGTTTGCCAAACGTGACTACATAAACAACGGCAAACTGCAGTGGGACACAGGTGCACACCTGAGAGTTTTAGTGACTTCAGTCTCACGCACCGGCCCCCAAGGGACATAAAACTGAACCCTGATACAAACAAGAGCTCAGCAACAAAAAGCCTTCACAGTGCGTTCATCAAAGCTTTAGTAAGCTACAGGAAGTTAGTGAGCTCAAGAAAGGAGATATTTATGACTCAAAACTAAGACCAAAATACTAGCTCCTAAACATTTATTTTGGTAAGCTTATACTAATGCTACCAGTACGCAAAAGAAAAAAAAAGTCATGCAAAAAAAATTCCTAGGTTCTTATCACCTTTTTTTGAGATGTTCTGTGAGTTTAATAGATTCTTCTTCCTCTCTTCTAACTCTACTTGCAGTTTTAAATCTACCACCTAAAACAGAGACAGAGTGGGGGGAAAAAGATCAGAAGGAAATGACAAACATGAACGCACTTAGCTTCAAATACAACTATGAATTACTTAACATTCCTTCGACAGTAAGACAGGCATCAGGCATGGCTACAACGCAGAGCACTCGAAGAAAAGAATCGTGTGTATAAAACTGACCATGAATAGAAGTCATCCACATAATAAGCGAGAGCTCCCCAAGAATAACTCACATCAAAACTTAAATGTCCGCAGTGAGCCAGCTAGGGTTAATGAAGCACTCTGCTTCATGACATATAAGGCCTGAAATTATTCACGCAACCATAACATGAAGCTATCTTTACCAACAGATAATATTCACCACACGGGCTGAGCAAAGCTCACTTGCAAGATTCTCGCTGTTATGGTCCAATAGGTTTTCATTTGGTAAGCCTTTAGATTTTTTTTTCTTTTCTTACATTTACCTGTTTAATGGTGGACCAGAAATGCTCAATTTCTCTGGCAGTAAAAGCAGCAACAGCCCTCAGTTGCTTCTCTTCCCTTTTCCTGCATGTTTCCTTATGAAGTAGCATATCCTCGTGATGACGAGCCACACTTAAAATCAGCTGAATAAAACCATAACATTAAGTTTTCACTCTGTTCTATCTAACAAGCGTATTTCTAAAGAAAGGGGGAAAAAAACCCCAAACCAATCCCTTTAGGAGTACTGCCCAAACTTTCCAAACACAGTGGAGAGGCAAACCAAAACTCGCACATCCTCAGTGATCACGTCCTAACCCTGAAAACGCTGCCTATTCTTCCCCCCCTTTTCTGGTTGAAAATATCAAATTCACATTACTCTCTGGGCAGTTATCGTCTTCCATCTTCTTTCTTGAACAAAATCAGTTGCCATCCACTGCATTTCTTCCAAAAGGTAATCATGGTGTGATTTGTGCCGTGGGGCCTCTTGGTGTTTGGGCAGACGTTTCAGAGACCACAAACCTTCTTTCCTCAGTGCTGTTATTTGCTGCAGAATCTCATTTTCCTTCAAGTAAACATAATTAAACCTACGTTTCCTACTGCACAACACAAAACCAAGACAGAGACTCTGTGAAAGTTGTTACATGAATAACCGACAGAAATGATTACTTGGTCCTTGGAAACAGTCCACGCTGTTTGAAGTTGCACTTTCTCAAAAGATAATGAATAGCGCATCTTCTGCAGCTTTATGTAAAGTCTCTGAAGGACTTTGTGATGCAGCAGTATTATGTACAATCACTAGAGAAATTTGGGATGCAGTGGTACTGAGTCTTTAGAAATTTATTTTTTCCTCCTAAAATACAGTACCTCTATATCTCATCAGAAGAGCAGGGGTGATTCAGTGAGAATTTTCACAGAACTGAAATGCCCTGCCAAACGGCAGATGGACAGAGTTCCCTAAAAAGTTCATATAAAAATACATTTAGTTTATGGCATTTTTATTAATGCATGTAAGTGTCCTGCAACTGCTGGCAAGTAAGCACAAGCAGCACAAATTCTTATTGTGATTTTTTCCCCCTTGTTCTAAACATGCTGCATAAAGCGTTAAAATAATTGATTCTGTTTAATTAAGTCTCCTCTTAGGATTTCATTAAGAGAACAAATTCTACTTTGCTAGAGAATCTGCCTGATTCCTTCTTATTCCTCTTCTTCAGGAAAAATCATACGGCATGTCTACAACACCATTAAAACCAAAAAGAGAGATACAGCTACCTACAGCACATTCGAAATTTAAATGAAGACAAAGTTTTATTGTAAAGAAAGATTTATACCCAGCTGTGCTATACAACAGCTATCTGAAGCAAATTATTAGGGCTTGGTAAAGTCTTTTGCAAAACCTACTGAAATTATTTGCTCCTTTTTCCCCAGGTTGGAGTAATAAATTGTTATCCATGAAGTCTCAAGAAAAAACACAATGGACACCGCTGCCAGATTAGCATGCTGTTCCCTCTTGCTGCGCCCTGTAACTAACTTACCTGCAACCTTCTGCATATGTTTGAAATTTACTTTGAAGCACAAAATGAATTTGATTCAATGAAAATGAAAATCCAGCACAAGAATATTTAAACTGAGAGTTGGGTAGCCATCGCAAATGACATAAATGAACAGGTATGTTCTTCGCAGAAGTAAAATTTCCAGAGAAAGTAGCGGTAAAGCACCTAAAATTAATCTCGTCTAGACTTCCTTAACAAGACAGACGTTAGTGCTCTGTTTCTGAGGGTACTGTCTTCCCAGTATTCAGGCGGACTATTTAATGGTGCAGAACAGACGACAACAGCAATTTCAATACACAAAAACCAGCCGTTCAATGCCGCATACAATATAACGTGCAAATCTGATACCTGTTGCTGTACAGGAACTGGAGCTGTGACCAAAAGCACGTGCTTCTTACCACAGCCTGCTAGTTGTTCCTGC